AAGCTGAGGCAAGAGAATGACTGTGTGTTTGAAGCCAGCAAGACTCCATCTCAAAAACACAGCATGCCAAGTGAAATAAGCTGGAGAGAAAAGGATAGACATTGTACCATTCCACTTACATGAGGTGTCTGGACTAGGCAAATTCAAAGACGAAAGGAGACAACAGATTACCAGGGCTCAGAGAGGGGAAAGTGGAATTTCTACTACCTAATGGGCACAAGCTTCCTTTATCCCCTTCCGTCCCTCCCTTTGTCCACCCCCCCTTCCTTTCTCCTGCCTCAACCACCGAGAGAACAATGGAATTACAAGTGTAGGGCAGGACCTACCTGGCTTGGGTGCAGTTTTCTATTTGGGAAGATAAAAACAAATTCTGAAAATCGATAGTGGAAAAGCTTATACATTGTGATGTCATTAATACTACTGATAATAAATATAATTAAAACAGTAAAGTTTATTATGTATATTTTACCACAACTCAAAAATGAAATGACTGTTACTGATACAAAGTAACCTCCAAAATATTCTGCTAAACACAAAATGCAAGATGTCAAACAAGAAAGGGAAGGAGGAGATTATAGGCAAATACAGATTTTTGTAAATGCTCAAAACATCTTCAAAAGCTAGCTATAAACTAGCAATCTGATGACATCTAGGGAAATAAATCAGATGCCGAGAGAACTGAGAGGGAAGTGAAATTACTTCTATCTACCCTTCTATACATTTTGAACTGTGTGCTATTTATGTATAATACCAAGCGTTAAAGAGTTGTTTTATTTTTTTTTTTTAATAAAAATGGGGCTGGTTATACAGCAATTAATCACTAAGAAGAATGTATGCAGTGTATTATTTGTTGAAACTGTACTTCCGATTTGATTTGAAACTGTCTCATTGCTATCTGTTTATCAATAAAATTTTGAAAGAAAAAAAAATGGAGCTGGTTGTTAAAATCATAAAAATCAGAGTCCAGTAGGTATGGACTTACTGCTATGAGGCACCATTACAGGCACAAAAGAGCTACGAGTTATGACTCCAATCTTATCTCTCTTCGTCTTATGCATCCTGTGTTTGGACTTCAGTAATGGGGTCCTACAAATGCAAGCAAAGCTTGTGGAATTCTGTGTCTTGACAGTACTTGGTATAGAACTAGCTACTCAATTTCCTGGTTAGCTGATTCCTAACTAAACCCCCTACTGGACTAAGGTAGGGACAGAAGGCCCAGCACCCCCAGCACCTCCAGCTTGGCACAAAGTCACATGATGTTTGCAGTATGGACACAGAGTGAACAAAGGCTGGGACTATGGCTATGTACTACAATGTCACAGGCTAGTAAACTTCGTCTAACAAATTCCAAGTAAAGAGTTTGAAAGATTTTTTTTCTCAACATAGGACTTCTTACCTTGATGTGACTGCTGGCTTCATGCTGTTCACTAAATGCCAATGTGCTGAGAATATGGAAGAGTTTTCGGATTTGCTGAGGGGACATATTATCCAGGTAATCTAAAAGGCCCTATAAGAAAAAATGCTAACAATGAGATTGATAGCTAATAGTTTTTGTCTTTAAGTCAAAAAGTTAAAAATTGTCAGCGGAAGGTGTAGCTTAGCAGTAAAACACTTGCCTAGCATGTGCCAAGCCCTGACTAGGTTCAATTCCAAGTACCTAAAAACAAAAATTAAAATCCTTATAAGATATACAGTTATATCGCCAGGTGTCTATCTACCTATTTCCCAAAAGCTTAAACTATAAAACCTCTGCTCACATTACAAAGGTTTGATACTCTGGACACAAGCAGACAGGGCTCTTGAAGCTTCCCAGGTCTATCAGAGACAAGGACCCAGAAGCAGGAAAGATGAGCACTGGTCTGCTGCATTCTGGGCCGCAATATTGGGTGGTAACCATCTTCTGCTTAGACATTCTGGTACACTTCTCAGTTCCCTGCCTTTTCTTTCAGTGAAAGCAATACTCTAGCACAAGCCTTCCACAACTCCTGCTCCTTACCTTATCTTCCCTTTCTAGCTTCTATTCCATGAACTATCCTTTCCCTGCAGATCTGGAGGGAGTCAAAAGGAAACTACAGTGGTGTCTCCATTCATGAATTCAATGGATGCCACGAATCTGGAAAAGATGGCCACGTCTGTGTTTGTGTGGGAAAGATGGATGCTTCTGTGTTCATCAATCCAATGCAGAGTATACAACAAAAACAAAATTTTACCAAATGCTTCTATTTGAACCAAACTGGTCATAAACAAGAGTACTCATGAACTTAGGCACCACTGTATTTCCTTTTTGACCCTGAGTAGCCCCTCAAGGGACACTCATCTCTAATAGAGCTTTCCCTTCTCTAACATAAGGATAACAACAGCTACCATACTTTTCAAAACTGGTCTGAGGATGAAGTAGTGAGAACTTTGTGAGTTTTAACTGCCCACGCTAGTGGCTGGCCTCTACCCCATCTTCACCCTCCACCCTCTGAACCCTCTGTAAGAAGCTCTCTGTCACCTGTTGTTGCTACCTGATACCCTTCTCTTTCCATGGACTTTTGCTCTCAGCTGCCGCTTACACTCAATGTTCTCAGAGCGTCTCACTCTCCCTGGCTCCTACGATCGTCTGTCCATTTGTGCTCACACTGTTATGCTTGTGGATATCCACACTAATCCTTCCACTTAGCTGGCTTATGTCTATCATCAAAGACAGACTGACCTTTACATCCACAGCACCCAGGACAGAGCTTGGCAACAGTTAGGAATAGACAGATACTTGTTGAATGAAGTAGTACATAAATGAGTCATTTTTAAATAGTACAGGCCATTACACCTCACTTCCAATCCACAAGGTAGAGAGCCCAGTATCTAATGAGTACCAAATAAATGATTGCCAACAGATAACTTTCTGTACGTGACAAAGGAAGTGATGTGGTGTAGGACTATAAATACCTTCACAAACACAGCATTCATCCTCATTGAAGATGGGTCGAGTATTGTTAGCTCAAGGAAGACATCCAGTGCAGCATCAACTTCAGCTTCATTCCCACTGCACACATGGGTTACTAGGGCACCAACCACTTCCTGCACAAGGGAGGAACAAGGCGCAACACAACAGCATGAAGCAAAAAGATGGCAAGGCCATTCTAAATGGGTTCAGCCCTATACTTTGCCAGTGTTTACCTTGTTAAAATTGCAGCTCACCTGACTGCACCATCGACTGTGTAGTTTTCAGTCATGCTATATCCTATGTAAGCACCATACCATCCACTCTTGACCTATTTTCCAGTTATGAGTGAACAGCCTCTACACCTTCCTAATTCCGTTATTTGGTGTAGTCCTCCTTTTTCTTTGCCCACACGAGTTAAAACAGATCAAGATGGTCCCTCTAAGACATTAACAAAGTCAGAAAGGTCTTAGATGCTATTCCTACTTCCCTTTAAGCTGCTGCTCAGTAACAGAATCCAACATCTCATGTCAGCTGTATCTTACTGCTATTTCTTTTTTCTTTTGCTGTACTGGGGACTGAACCCAGAACTTTCGCACTGAATTGTTCGGACTCCATTCAAATTTGTAATCCTCTTGCCTCAACTTCCCAGGATGCTAGAAATACATATATCACCATACCCCAGTAATTCAGGGCTTTTGCACTGAACTACATCCCCTACCACCACCTGGATACAGGTTTTCACTGAACTAATAAATTCTTCAGGCTAGGACCTAGGTGTAAACTCAGTGTTTGAATGTTTACCTATGCTCAAAATTCCAGAATCAATCCCCACACTGCAAAACATGCATCAATCAATCTTCACTTGTAAAGGTTCCCTTCAAATGTATTTGAATGTCATTAATAAAAATTCTGTATTTGCTTTATAGTAACTTTCCTTCAAAACAGGCTTCCTTCTCTAGATACATAGTATTAAATTTTGTGTATCGGATTCATGGAAGTATGGTTAGGCCTCAAGCCTTTCTTATTCATTTACTTTTCATTATGTATTTTTTAAGGAACAGCTAGAAGTTGCCTACTTTTAACTAATCTTTAAATACCATTCCCATACTGTGAAAACTACCTGATAACTCAGCTAAGTGGTCTAAAGTTTAATCAAAGTAGACTGGGTCTGGACCTTAATTTTAGGCCTCCCAGGCCAGTCCACTTTTTTTAAGGCTGGAACTGGAACTGAGTTTTCCAAGCTCTCCTCTTCAGGGTCTTCAAATCAATAAATAAACAAAAGCAGTTCACTTGTAGTTTCTAGTTCACCATTCCTCATTAAAATAAGTTATTTCAACATACCTGCTGGCAGTAAGAGTCAAAAATCCTAAATGACAATCTGTAGAGCAGACTGGCAAATGAAGTTATACTCTGTTCTTGGGAGTGAAACAAACTCTGAGCCACCAACAGAACAGATGGACAAATATCCTCAAGAATCTAGGAGA